TGACAGCGAGGTGGTTTTTGACCAAAGGTGGCGTGCAGCGGTAGAGAAAGGTGGGCTGGAGGAAGTGTTGCTGCACACTCCGAAGCAATACCCCGGGATTGACTACCTCTTAGATTTCAACCATGGAATACAGGTGACACAGTCAGACAAGCACAGCATTGCGCCAAAGTTCCTTGAAAAGCTACACACTGCCTTTGATGGTCACAAAGGCTACAATTTCACCTTGACCTTCATGGTAGTTAGGGAGCCTACGAGTTTCAAACCCAAAGATCTCAAAGAGTTCAATGGCTTGATGAAGCTGGCACAGGGGAAAGAACGAGTGTTCAGCAAAGTCTGGGTAGACGTCATACAGATGCCGAAGACCAGAGACTCTTTGCCAAAGAAAAAATGCTGCAAGGGAAGTGCAAGCAGGCGACAGTTTTCAGGCAACCAACTTGATATCATGGCTATCCTTATATTCCCATGGAATTTCCAACATTTCAAGACGACACACGGTCATTTTGGTTTCAAGACGACACATGCGTCCCTTTCTTCGCGCCTTTTAGATGGGCGGCACAGTCGCAGCACGGTCCTTCTTCAAACATCTTCAAGTCCAAGAAATAAATCTTCTTCTATTCTGTTCTATTCTATTTACTCTCTTCTTCTTCTCTACTTATCTTCTCCTCTTTCATCAGACATTGGACAACTGTTGGCGCCAGGAGAACCGCTGGTCGTGCTTGGAGCTGAGCACAGGCCTGGACGAGAATCCGTGTGTAGAGCCAACATGAAAAGCTGCAGATATCAAGGGATAAAAAGGGTGAAAAACGCTATGCTGAAAATGTATATATCATATTTTTATCAGGCTATGCTTTCAGCTGAAAAACGCAGAGATGTTTTCTGGTAGCTCGGCCAAGTGACGCAAAGTGTTTCTTTCACCGAAATATTCACGATGAATTCATTCACAAAATGGTGTTTTGACATCGAGTAAATATTTTGGTAAATATTTTGCACAAAATGTTGGTCTCTAATGTACCCGGAATGCACGTCCCGGTCATTGTCTAGTTGGCGATTTTTATTTTTGTAAAATGTTTGTCTTGGAGGATGCTTTGCGTTGCGGGAGACTCGTCCACATGGAAATTGCTATAAGAATACGTTTGTTCGAGATGGGGTTGATGATGAAACCCGGTCAATCAGATAGTGCTTAGTGCTACCCTCCATAGTAAACCAATGAACTGGCTTTGGTTTCCGGTTTGCCATTTGGCTATCCTTTTTGGAGCAACTTTGCCGAGGGGTGAAGACCTGGTGCAAAACATTCTGGAACGGTTTGTTCCTGTTTCTGGCCATAGTCTTGCTCAGGCGCGTCTTGGAACATTGCAGGCCTGATGATGATCCTCATCTTCATTGCTCACAGCTTTGCTTTTCCTATTTCAGCTGTTTTGTTCTTCAAAATCTCAGACTCACCTTGATGATGAGCTGTTCATAGCTGTTCTATTGCGTATGTTTGCGTGTGCGTTGATGTTTCGATGTTTGCCTTAGGTGTTATGCTTTGATTGTGCTGTGCCTAAGGTTGGCCTAAGACAGAGGCGACCCTTTTGACACCTGGAGGTTGGCATGGTCATGGGGATGCTCAGGACCTCACGGAGTTTTCGCAACAAAAAGATTTCTCCAAAATGCAACGGATTTTTTTCAACAAAGTATGGCACATTTGTAATTTATGTGAGGTATTACTTAAATGTTAATGTGAGGTATTTGTTGAGATGTCTTTGTGAGATTGTTTTGTGAGGTATTACTGTCTTTGTGAGGTTGTGATACTCTCCGGTTGTGGAGATGTTTCAGTTGTAATTTATGATTCACAGGATCGAGAAAAAATGTTACGGAAGATGCTGCAAGGACAGCGACACTGAACCTGTCTATGTCCTGAAGCCCAGAGGAACAAATTCGGGTGATGACTTTAGCCAAGCAGTACAATGCTCCGGTTCCCACCAAGATTCTCATAGACTCTGCTGTCTCTGTCAAGTTGTCCCCCTCTTGTTCCCATGACGAAGTGACGCTTTCTTCGAGCTGGAGTATTTGGGGGTTTTGATTTTTCGAAGGAAGTTTAGAAGTCAAACTTCCGACAATATGGACAAATCAAAAGCAGAGCAGGGCAGAGGCAGAGAGAAGAGAAAGATTAGATTAGAAGAGAGAAGATAAGAGAAGAGAAAGAGTCAGAAGAAAGAAGATGCAGATGCGCGAAAAGGTAGGCAAGTCGCGATTCACTGTATTTTTCCAATGATTTGTGGCTCCGGAGGGTCGAAAAGTAGGCTCGCTAAAGCGGCGGGTGCGGAGCCAGCTGGCCAGATGAGAGATGAAAAATTGCTCGCCGTTGTGGCGCGAAGCACATATCGAAGTCACAATGTACAAAACACCTCAGCCTCGGACCAGTTTTGGAAGTTCAGATGTCGAAAAAGTGCACGCCGTTGTGGTGCGAAGCACATTTCCAATTCAAAATTTACAAAACACACCTTGGTCGGACCACTTCTGGAAGTTCAGATGTCGAAAAAGTGCACGCCGTTGTGGCGCGAAGTAAATTTCGAAGTGAAAACGTTAAAAACACCAGGGGTTCGGACTACTTTTGGAGGTTCAGATGTCGCTTCGCTTCGCTTCACTAGACTAAACTACAGAACACTACACTACACTCCGCTACACTACATCTACACTACACTGCACTAAATTACACTACATTACACTCCACTACACTCCACTACACTAAATTACACTACACTACATCACACCACACTACACTCCACTACACTACAACTACAACTACACAACTACACGGTTCCCGGCCCATAGAAGGCCGTGTGGTTTTAGGAGGTTGTCATCAACAAAAATGTCGTTTTCGCTACAGCGAAACGTCATTTTTTTTTAAATCATGTTGACGTGAAAAATAGGGTTTTGAAAATCTCCAAAACTACTTCGTTTTTTGACATAAGTTCGTGTTTTTCCCCACATCTTTGTGTGGGGTTCTTGGTTTTGGTTCTGCATCCCGGCCGCCTCCGCCTCCTCCATCCGCCCGGCGCGTCCCACACAACTTGATCACACACCACTTGTCCACATACAACTCCTCATACCACTTGTCCACACACATTTGATCACACACCACACAACTTGATCACAAACCACTTGTCCACACACAATTTGTCCACACACGACTTGATCACACACCACTTGTCCACATACAACTCCTCATACCACTTGTCCGCACACATTTGATCACACACCACACAACTTGATCACAAACCACTTGTCCACACACAATTTGTCCACACACGACTTGATCACACACCACTTGTCCACATACAACTCCTCATACCACTTGTCCGCACACATTTGATCACACACCACACAACTTGATCACAAACCACTTGTCCACACACAATTTGTCCACACACGACTTGATCACACACCACTTGTCCACATACAACTCCTCACACCACTTGTCCACACACATTTGATCACACACCATACAACTTGATCACACACCTTGTCCACACACAATTTGTAGCATGACGTGTGTGTGTGTGCAAGTGCAAGAGAAGATCACCATAACGTAGCATGACGTGTGCGTGTGTGTGTGTGTGTGTGCAAGTTGACATGAACGTTTTTGCCCCACCCCACCCCACTCAACCCCACCCCAAGATAACCATGACGTAGCATGACGTGTGTGTGTGTGTGACATCTGAAAAGATGTAAAACTTCTAATCCTGTTTTTCATATTGCAGGGGAACTGGGCACTCTGTGACTGATGTTCGCCGACCATTTCATCGCCGACAATCACTTATTTGTTCATTTTGCATGTCTATTTCGCCGAACGATGATATTGCATTTCGCCGACGATGATGTACTATGTCTTCATGGTATTTATTGTGTGAACAAACCAAACCAAAACTTTTTTCAAACACGTCGTTTTTTGCATGCAGGGGGATACAAGTCTCGAAGGATCACTATAATGATCCAATTCTTTGCTAGTGTGATTCCTATGGTGGCTCCGACATGGTGCCATAGGGCCAATCGAGGCAACCCTGTTCAGGGTGAATGAGGACAGACTTGACTACTGAATTCACACATTTTAATCTGGTAATTCGTTTAAGTAAAGTGCAACAGTGGGCCATTCCGTTCCCTCACCATTTTGTGCTGTCCTGCTGATCCTGTTGTCCCCTGAGAATCCCTGGACATTGCATTCTTCCAGTGTGAGGCTGATCCGAACAACCAGAAACATCCATTTCGCACCTGCTGCTCCAGCTTTTGAAGTGAAACATGACACATTTGAGAGAAGGCAACAGGCATGTCCTTTTCCTGCAGGTGTGGTCTCTTTGGTATCTGGTGAGGTTGAACATGTTGTGCATCTAATTCGTTGGAACTTGAACAGCTGTTTATGCCCATGTGGCTTGACTTGACCACGGTCCCCTT